GCCAGTCAGCAGACTTGACATGAAGATAACCTCTCAGAAAAGAGGACAGCCCTTGAGGAGGATTCGCCCAATGGCCTGCGGCGTCGACGGTGCTATTATACCATTTGTAATGTTTTCTCGGCTCCGGTAATCTCGCAAGCTCGGCTTGAATGTCAACCATCGGTGGAACTGGCCGACCTTCCCCATGGGCGACATTGAAAGGAAGGACTGCAGGGGCCTTGAAGGGATGGCTCATCATAACAACGCCCCGGAATAGATCTGGTCGTATCAAGGCACTCATGCTCGCTGTTACTGCACCAAAGTCATGGCCAACGATGCATTTGACTTGTGCGTAGCCTAGAGCGTTGACCAGGGTGACGACATCGCGTACCACATTGGTCAGGGCGAACTGGGCGAGGTTGGTGTTGACAAAGGAGGAATTGTCCCATCCCGTTGTACGACCATAGCCTCGTTGGTCAAAAGCAACCACATAATAGCCAGCCTTGGCTATGGGGACCATGATCTTTCTCCAGGAAAATGCCAGTTCCGGATAGCCATGGCACAAGAGGATCAAAGGTTTGTCGTGCTGCGGCGTATATCCAGCTTCCAGGATGTGAAAGGTGAGGCCGTTTGTGGGGCAGGAAACGTAGTTGTCTGCAATTCCTGGTGGCAATGGAAGACGAGATGGTATCCCCTGTGGAGGGGAAGGCATGTTGGAGAGGAATCAGACGAAAAGAGAAAACTTGCAGGAATGTGAAGGAATAGAGTAAGGAAATGGATGTTGGGTCCGATGTTTGATCCTAGAGAAAGCGTACCCATGCAGTTCACATCACCTTTTCGAAGCAAGCCATTGTTAACGCGCTCTACGATGCCTGTGTATGAGCGGGGAAACGGATCTATTTCCTACACGATTGGAAAAGCAATGGACATGGGGTTGGCCATGTACCTACATAGGTACATGTAGCGGAGGACTGGTGCCAGTGGCATGCCATGCCATGCCTGTCGAAGATCCATGGGTGATATCTCCGACGAATAGAGTAGATGCCTTTTTCTTTCCTTTCTCCTGAGCCGAACAAGCATGACATAAAAGGAATAGGATGAGATGATGACGTCGATGGCGCCTGTAGCCTTGGTTGATTGGGGAATGGCTAGTAGGTGGTGCTAGGCTGGAGACAAGCATGGAAATGCTGCATTTGGCGCAAGGCGAATCAGGGGGCTTTGTGCGACATCTATCCTCTGTACTTGCTCGGCTGAAATCATTGCATGGCGGCAAGGTTCACATGTGCTCTGGCTGATGCAAGTACAAAGCACACAAGGCAGATGTGACATGTGGAAAGTAGGTTATGTACTCCTAGACATGTACATGGTAGAACATATATGGGTGGAGAGGCGGGACTGCAGCCTTCTCCACACCGTCCAGCAGGCCCACCCTTGCCTTGAGGTACTCTACCTGCACGCGCAACTCCCCCCCCCCCCCCCCTGCAACAGCTTTTCCAGGCCAACAACACGCCAACACGTTCGACGCGGCCACCCTGCGAATCCAAAGGCCCCCTCCCCCCCCCGCCCGGACGATGCCAACACTTGTCAACACGGTGTCGACAGAGTGAATACAGCTACCTCTGCTCTGAGTAATTTTTAATTCACACAACCATGTTTAGCAAACGGCGTCGCGCTGCTTCGAATCCGGTAGGTGTCCTCATTCACCCACGGCTGCGCGCACCTGCATCATGCGCCGCATCCACGTCCCCCTCCTCTCCCCACCACCCAGCACCCTTCATCACGACCTGAGCCCGCCGACGCGATGCTAACGACGTTGTGATATAGCCCCAGCGAGCGCCCCCGAGCGCATCGGCGTCTCTGGCCGCGACCAAGGCCTTTGTCCAGCATCGTGAGTCTAACACAGATCTCTCTTCAGCCGCCGCCGCCGCCGCCCTCCGTACGCATGTCACGACTCCGACCCCTGTGGGCCACACCGTGACAAAGCGCATGGTGAGGCGCGGTTCGGTGTCGTCAAACGGCAGCAATGCGCGCCCTCCGCCCGTTGGGCTGCATAGGCAACTCAGTTCAGGTAGTATGACAGAGCGCTCATTTCGCGCAGCATCCCCAGCCAGGAGCCTCCCCGCTGAGCAACACCCGCCGCCCGTACCGCCCGTGCCCCAGAGCCATCTCCAACAGGCCAATGCTGTGCATCGGCGCGCATCCAGCCTCGAGCCGACCAACCGTGGAGGATCGCCCGGCCCGAGAGGCGGAGGCAGAGGCGTCAGTCTGGACAGAGCCGCGAGCAATGCGGCTGCGAGGGGTCATGAGCGACAGACCAGCCATCTCGCGCAGGTCTCGGAAGAGGAGGATGCAGTGAGGAACTCGGTCAACTTTTCGCGCCCAATGTCGCCCGGCGCATCCGCGGGGAGAAAGCCATCCCCACCGAAAGGCCAGGGCTGGTTCGGAGGCCCGGTCGTGAACAAGGAGGCCGTCCAGCGCATGGCATCGACATCGCGACCGCAGACTTCGAGCGGCGTCTCAGCATACGACCTCCAGAACGCCCAGCGATCGGTCCAACACGCTGCGGAGCGCCCAGTGAAGACTCACCAACTTGCGCAGGGCGCAGAGGGCACTCGATTAAATAGCGGCAGTATGCGTGTGAAGCCAACGGGAGCGGCAGTGCAGTCAAGGTCCTTCTTACAAGCAGCAGCAAGACAGCCGGCAGGGCCTGTTGATCCAAACTCTCCAGATGCTGTTTACGATCCCTCGACACGAACTTTTATTCGCAAGCAGGATGCCATGGCTATCCATCGAGAGCTATATGAAGAGCCAGAGCAGCCATCTCGGCAATACGTCGCCCAACATGTGCAGGACTATCACGGCCAACCTCTCTCACCACCACAAAGTGGTCGAGGGTCTCCAAGTCCTGGGCAGCAGTACGTCAGGAGGGTAGAATCCCCTCGGCCAGCCACAGCCGCGAAACAAGCCCAGCCAGTCGTGCAACCGCGTACTCCAGAGCCACCAATGGAACCTGTGATGCAGGGACGCAACTCGGAAGACTTTGCTGATGCTGAAATCCAGCCATCTGAAGAGGCCAATGTAGGACGCAGTTTGGAGCAGGCTGTGCCAATGGAACCTGAGCGTACAGAGAACATAGCAGTGTCCAACTTGAGAGTCAATCAAGATAGCTCGTATCCTCGCCTCGCAGCTCCAGGCAGGTCAACGCCTGTAAATACTGAAACTGGGCTAAAGCGCGCAAATACGCTCTCTGGACCAGACCGACCAGTCTCACTGAGTCCTCACCGCAATGCACACTTTGCCCCAGGTGTTGTGGAGCTTGCTGGAACAAAGCACGAACCCCTGCCCCGTTCGATTTCACCTGCCAAATCTGCGCTGAAGTCATCCCCTTCGGTCTCGAGACGAAGCCACTCTCCAGTCGCATCAAACGGACGACTCACTAGCAAGAGTGCCTCAAGCGAGGCGTCTGATGCCACATCTGACGCTGAGTCACAGAAACGGAAGAAGAGTGTTCGCGTTAGCTTTGAGCAAACGCCAGTTGTAGTTGCTGTTGCAACCGGCGGCGATGTTGAATCCCCCCCTCCTCACTCAGGCCTAGGCGCATCGAAATGGAGTCCTGTAGCCGAGAAAGACGACGAGTTCGAGGACTTCATGAAGCCCCGTGCACCACTCCCCGTGTTTGGAAGCATCCGTGAAAAAGAACGTCGCCCCACCTCTGAAAACTTGGCTGAAAAGGTTACCGAAACGGTAACGACAACGCCTCTGTCCGCGTCAATTGGCTCGATCATTGAGAACACCACCACGTCCAATGACCACGCGCTGGGAAACATTGTTGCCCAGGATTTTGCCGACCAGGCCAAGGCTTCTTCAGATCCTGTCCCTCCACAAGTTACGACTGTCGAAGGTAGTGGTTACGTGTCCGACTCCAGCGAAGAGTCCAGTGCGCTAAAGCATGGAGATGCCACGGAGCAGTCATCTGTGCCCGAGCCAAAGTCATTGACTTCGCAGTATGATAGGGAGTCGTCTTCGCCAGCTCCGATCACGGAACAAGTGGTTGAAGTCCCCCAACTCGCGCTCCAACCTGCGACCCCAAGTCCTTACGAGCGACCAGAGCCAGAATTCCAGGCCATGACCATACCTGGAGGTTGGGATGCAGACGGCAATGAAATCACGCCCAACGCGAGCACTCCTACGGACAGAGAGGGCCATTCGAAGCGGGATGAGCAACCATTGCCTCCCAAAGCTCAGCAGATCACTTTTGCGGAAGATGGCGAAACCACAGAAGACGACAGCAGTATCTATAGCGATGCTTATGAGGACCTTACAGACACGGAGGGTGGCTTCGCCAGCATTGACGCCTTGATGCAGAGTCCGGCTGGTCCGTCTTCATCAGGCCTGATGTCCTCCAAGTACGCGGACAATGTTACAGAGAGTGCAGCTGCAAAACAAACCAAAGATTATGACTCAGACGTAGATTCAGATGTGACCACTACACAGGACTGGGGTGCTGCTGAAAAGCACTGGAGTAGTGTCAGTGCGGCTCAAAGGCAAACGCAAGGTGACAAACCAGTTCCTGATGAAGGAACCCGTGCTGAGGCTGCGGTCAATCGCGTAATGCAAGCTCCGGTTGTCGGCCAAGAGCCTCCAACAGCATCGATTGCATCCGACAAAAATTGGACACAGCTGACAGCCCAAGCCTCCCAAGTAGCATCGAAACCCCTCAAGTCGGCATTGAAGAAGACGACTGTGCCGCAGACTATTGCTGCACCCGAGCCTAAGATGCGACAATCAATGAGAGGACCACCTCCCAGGGAAGGTGCCCCAGACGTTCACATGAAGAAGACAATGCGTGGTGGAGGAACAGACGCCACGCCATCAATGCGAGCCAGCATGCGAGGCTCATCAGACACTAGTCCAAGGGCACAACCCCAAATGCGACAAAGCATGCGTGGATCTGAACCATCTCCATCCCCATCCGCTTCTATGGGTCTGGCTGCATCGAGACATAGCATGGTCCCACTGGAAACCAAGCCACCTCGAGCAGCCCTTCAAAAGAAGCACATCCAGACAGCACCCATTGTGCCCAAGGCCCGACGGCAGAGCATGCCAGCCGTCAAACAGATGCCTGCTACAGTACCAACATATGATAGCGATTCAGATGCTTCCGCAAGTAGCTTTCAGCGTACTAGAGCACGGGGTCGCAACCAGCCTGGTCGAATGACAATGAGGGGATCTATGAGACAAGAGCCTGCGCCTACAATGCGCGGAGCTGCTCCAGCACCCAAGCAGGTCCACGCGATTTCACCACCAGCTTCACCAGCACAAGTCATTCGAAAGTCAATGCGTTCCTCCTCACCTGCGTCTGAACCGGTGAAGTCGTCAAGATTCAGTATCAGGTCACTGTCGCCCATGGGCAGGTTCCGTAAAGGTCCTGAGGCCAGACCGTCCTCACCTACGTCATCCAAACCGATGCCAACCTTCAACAAACAGCCAAAACCTCCAAAGCCCCAGAAGCAAACGGCGCCAATTGCTAGTCGTGCAAAGGCCTTTACTAGTCGATTCGCCGACTCCAGTGATGAGGAAGATGATGCTCATCCACGACGCTTCCAAAGCCGCTTCGCAGATTCGGACGATGACGAGCCGATCGACTATAAGCTCCCTCCTGGACTCGCTCCGGTACGTGGCATTCCGCGTACGCGTGAGGATGACGGCGAATCGACCGAGCTGGAGGAAGAGGCAGAAGAGAGTCCGACGGTTGCTTCTGCAACGGCAGCGAAAACTGAAGCTGCTACAAGCGGCGTTAACAATGGCCAGGCCAATGAAAGCTCGCAGAGACAGGGTATAGCTTTGGCCAGTGGCTCACTACGCGACAGCAAGTATGCACCTGGAGCGCCATCTTCTGATGCTGGCACTCCGACAAAGCAGAAGCGCGGCTTCTTTGGGCTAGGGAAGAAGAAACAGCCCTTAGTCAGCCCCGCGGATGCAGCCGAATCTACTGTCAGAACCGCGGATATCCCCTTGGCACCTTCGCATCGCAATCGCGAGCCAGGTCATGTTCTGACACCCATCAACGAAGATCAGGACTTTGATACCCTTGTTGCGTCCTCGCCACAGAGCAAAAAATCACCCAAGCTGCATCGGCGATCGACACCAGAGTGGCCTCTCCCTTCCCCGCCAGTCATTGGGGATGTAGAACGTCCAATGAGCTCAGATGGAATCGCAACACGTCGTCCACGCTTTGCGAGCCGACAAATGAGCCAAGTCTCCAATGTCACCGCGCCTGTTGTCGGTGCACAGGGCCGTTCGGTGTCATATGGCCGGACTGGCAAGAAGAAGAAGTTTCAGGGCCTGAGGCGGGTCTTCGGCCTCAACGACTGAGCGTGTATTTCCCGATGGCTGATATACACTGTAGATTCCGGATTAGAGTACGTCGTGAGAGCTATGCCATGCATCGGGAACGTGCACGATCGCAGCGGCATTCGCTTACATCCTCTCTTTCCGACCGGTCGCGCGTCTCCATTCATACCATAATTCGTCGACGGGGCCGCTTTGAGACAAACTCCCTGTGAGAAAATGTCATTGCTATTCCCCTGCAGCTTCGATCCATGCGATAGACAGCCTCAGCCAGGCTTTCTCCTTCTCATCTCCTTATCCGCAATTCCTCCTATTTCTTTCCCAGTTCAGTTCTTAGTCGCTTGGATGTATTCGACCGGGGACTTCCCACGAGAGAGGAAGAAAGTGATACCATGTGTCTTATTTTATTTCTGTATTATTTGGTAGTGGATGGGCAGTGTGGGAGATGAGTCAAACGACGATCGGCTCTTGTGCATCGCCGCTGCGTTTGTTGCATTGCTTACGACCTCTTTTTTCTCTCTTTTGCTACTGATTGTATATGTTTGAGTATGTTTCATGGACGACGGTGGAATGAGATGGGCTGGGATGGGAATCGAGGGTACCCCGTCCATGTAGATAATTTCTAATGAATATGTGCTGGATAAGTTTGTCCTTTGTTCTTTGGGAGTACCTAGATGGTAGATGGAAGTAATGGGATTTTCTGTGGGAGTTACTCCATTTCTCTTCGTCGCACTTTAACTCCCATGATTCATGATAGTGCATGGCCGTCTTCGTCATTGAGGACTACAGCCGCGCTTGTCTTTCCAGTATTGTTTGTTGTACACGCTCTGCGGATGCAGACGCCTTGCCTTTTGTGGACCATGTGCGCGTTGTTTAGCACATGAGCGGCTGGCCAACATCATATGTACAGCGAGATTAGTATGACTATGAAGTTGACAGTTAAGAAGGTAGGATATGTGCTCAACACTGTGGATGAAGCCTTGATTGAATAGGACATGATTCAAGTTTCCCGGGATTTTTGTATGTAAATGTACTACTGTGCTTAGGGGATGCAAAGGCTCAAGCCCCTTCTCAGCGCATGATGGTATGTCAACAAGCACTACGGTACAAAACCGGTTTACAGTAGCCATATTTATCTAAAGTAGACCACGAAGTAGTTTAAGTACAAGAAGTAAACCTAAATAGGGTTTACTATACTATGTATTCTATAAAGGTAAACTACTTTTTAGTTTATATATTATTAGTATTATATATATTAACTTTAGCGTCTATTTAAATATAGTTTATATAATATACCTAATTATAGGTTATATAGTAGATAGATATATAGCACCTAGGGGGAAAATTTAGTGTAGATAGAGGGCACGTGGTAGGCATAATTTAGTAGGGTTACTATACAGGAAGTAGTACTAGTAGATACCTAGGCGGTATAGGCGTGCAGCATACCACTACCTAGGTACGCTGCAATAATAACTAAGAGACTAGGTAGTATACCTAGTATATAAAATTATAATCTAAAATATCCTATAATAATAGGTTAGTAAGTTCTATAAAGGCGCCTATTGCGACAACACTCCTATATTATAGTATAGTAGTATTACTAAAGATTATGCTCCACGTTATAAATATTCTAGGGTAAGTTAGTTACTTATACTATATATATTATAGGTTTCTTTAGTAGTATATTAGTTTAAAGTTAGGTATATATATATATTATTATATATACTATATTATATATAGTAGTAAAGGGGTAGTATAATATAGTAAGCTTGTGTAGTATAGGATATATAGTAATATTATATTATATTATTTATATATACTAATATTATATATATATATTATTTAACTTATATAGTTAGGACCCTCTTATATTATAATTATCTATAAACCTAGACGCTATTATTACTATTACTATTATTTAGCTCTCTTATACTACTACTATCTATATAAGGGGCATCTATAATAGATGCTCTAGTTTATATTAGAGACTGCCGTGATTTTAGGCCTTATACTCTAGAAGTATTTCTCTTATTACTATTATCTTTAGCCTTAGCTTTAGTTATATAGTTACGCCTAGCCTTTGCGTTCCTAACGCGTGTATTCTTGCAAGTCTATATTAGTAGAGCAGAATCTAAAGTCTCTATTAGAGAGTCTATAATAGTATAAGGTTAGTGTTATTACGTGTCTAGTAGTGTATTATAGTTATCTTCTATAGGTGTGTTTTTATAAGTGTCTAGAGTAGAATTATTTAGTTAGGCTAGTATACTATATAAATAGGTTTACTTTTATAGTCTTATATCTAGCTATACTAGTACTTATTATAATCTAACACCGCTAGCTAGGGGCACACTAACTATTAGGTTAGGATACTAACCCCTAAAAACGCTACTATTACTATCCTAGGCACCCTAGTCTTTAAAGCTAGTAATACTACTAGTATATTTAGTTTAGGGTAGACGTTGTCTTTATATATATTTAATAGGATAGGGTAATACTAGCTTACTTATAGCCTATAATAAGTCTTAGTTTAAATATTAGGGAGTATTACTATAGAATCCTAACTAGGCTACTATATAGTTATAGTATATACCTAAACTACTATAAATAAAGTTAGATATTAGCTACTAGTATCTATATAGACCTCTGCATATAATAGACCTCCCTAGGCTAGGGCCTTATAGGATAGCAAATGTTTAAGTAATTAGGGTAGTAATACTATTACCTAGTATAGTATAATTATATATAATAGCTCCTTTATAATAGTAAGATTAGTGTATTTAAAGAGGTAGATAATATACTTATATTTTAGTTTAGAGTATTAGTTCTTATTCCTATATATCTAGGTCTACTATATAAGCTATTTTAATACCTATACTTTATTAAAATATCTAAAAAATAGATACTTAGTAAGGATAGTATCCTATATATTAGTCTACTTAGAGTTAGAAATATAGCTAAATAGTTAGTCTTAGATTATATTAAAGTATATATCTATAGCCTTGTAGATATATTTATTAAGGTTATTAATACCCTTCTTACTAACTATAAACGTGTAGATCTATAGGGCAAACACTTTAGGCGTATATATTGCTACCTACACTATAATTAGATTATTGCTTGCTAATTTTAGCTATAGGCAGACACTATATAGTTCTAGTATTTTATATAAATAGGATCTTAAATCCTATATTAACTATAGGATAGTGTTAGGAATAAAGGTAGTATTTATAGTAGATAAGGTTATAAGTAAAGCTAATATATTATAAATATATTATTATAGATAGAAAGGGTATATTATTATATATAACTTGTGCACTTATTATATTATAACGTGTACTAGTGTTATTGCTATTGCTTATAATATATTATCTTTAGCTGCATCTTTATACTAATATACTTCTATAATATAGTTATTAAATAATAAGTTGTTATACTATAGTTATGCTATATTAGTATAATAGAAGTGTAGAGAGGGTGTGCTAACGTGTTATATTACGTACATGTGCAAGGGGTTAAGAATTAATTTAGAGTACACTAGATTATTATTATATAGATTTATATATATTACTATAATTATAGTATTATTACTTGTTATAACTAACGCTAATAAGTTATATTAGCTTACGTAGATTTATACTATATCCTTTTATTTACCTACTCCTCTATATACTAGAGTATAATAGTTATATTAATAGAGTAAGATATAAATATCTAGGAATACACTCTTACTAACCTATATTAGCTACACGTAGTTTACATTTACTAAAACGCAGTTGTTATACAACCTAGATTAGTATATAAGTTATGCTAGACTAGGAATTAATATAGATTAATATAGCAACTATAACACTATTTAAGAGGATAATATTATAAGTTACTAAATTTAGGGGTAATAACCTATCTACTATACTATAGTATTCTAAAAGCAGGGTAATCTATCCTTTAGATACCCTATTAACTATACGTCACACGTTAATATATTTTCCTAGGCTAGGCATAGAACTAATATATATTAGCTTAGGATAGAAAATAGGGCTATTGTGTATATTAGTTAACTACTGCGAGATATAGTAGTCCCTACTATAGAAAGCCTAGTTATAGAAGAAGAGGCTCTTTATCTTTAATAGTATGCTATTAAGGTTAAGATTCTCTTTATAGAAGCTTTTATTTAATTTAGTATTAATAAACTTGTAATAGATATATTATATATAAGTGTAATGTAATAGGACGTGTTAAACAAGTATATTATATAATTAAAGAATTACTCCTTCTTATATAGATAAATCTAGTAGTAACTAGATAACCTATATAAGGAGAAATAGATTACCCTCTTATATAGTATCCTATAGAGAACTGCGCATCTATTATAATATAGCAAGTTTATGTCTTAGATAGTATATCTTATAGTATAAAGCCCTTTAATAGTAGATAGTAATAAGCTAACTATACTATTAATAGGCTGTCTTACCTAGACTACACTAGTTAGACTAGCTTTCTTTTATATAGAATAGTAGCGATACAGTCTTATAGTAGCCTAGAAACCTTTCTTAGAATATCCTTAGTCTGTAAGGCTAACTAAGGCATAAGGAGGAGAAACTAATACTAAGCAAGGATTTAAGTAGAGTAGATTATCTAGGAGTAGCCTAAGCTAGTCCTACCTCTATTAGAAAGAGGTTAAAAGAGTCTCTATAACGCTTAAAAAGGCTACTATAAATAGTGTCTAACGCCCCTAATTTACTAGCTTATACTTATTTATAGTAAGAAACCCCTTTAATCACATCTCTATTATAAAGTCTTAAGAGATAGCTAGGTAAAGAGAACCTCTACTACTAGCAAGTAAATATTACTAAATACTCTAAAGGAAAGAAAGACCGTAAGTAATTAAGAATATAAGGTTGTCCCCTAATACTATATAGAGATTAAGTTTAGGTAGTCTAGGCCCTACTACGCCTATAATAGTCTAATCCGCACTAAGTAATACTAAAGATAGGTAGACAACCTATAGTTAGCAGACCTAAATAATT